CTTTTCTCTCTTTCTTCCTCTTTCTTCCTTCTTCTTGCTTGCTTGCTTTACTTGACTGCTAACAGACAAACAAACTTCTAGGGCAGGCCGAACTTCAACAGAAACCAACAACCCCAGACAGAGAGTGACAACAAGTATGAGGAAGCTCAACCAATTTGTGGACTCTTTTGAACTTAAAGAACTTCCTTTCCTAAATAATAACTTCACTTGGTCCAACCTTCAATCAAGGCTAATTTGCTCTAAGCTGGATAGATTTTTGTTTTCAACAGATTGGAAGGAACACTGGGGCAATATTACTTCTAGGGCTCTCCCWAGACTTACTTCARACCACTGGCCTATAGTGTTGGTCAAGGAGGAAATAAGAGGAGTTGGGCCTACCCCTTTCAAGTTTGAAAACATGTGGTTGACTCATCCGGGTTTCATTGAGAATATCAGAGAGTGGTGGGAGCAAGCTAATCCGGTAGTTGATTGGGAGGGAATGAGGTTCCACAAGAAACTTCAATACTTAAAATCACAATTAAAGGAGTGGAATAGGCTGGAGTTTGGAAGATTAGAAGAGAAAAAACAAGTTTTGGTGGAGCAAATCGAGGATTTGGACCTGAAGGAAGAGAGAGGTTCCTTTTAGAGAGGAAGAAAGGAAGTTGAGATGGGTTTTGAGGAGGCAGATGGAGGACATCTTGGTTAAGGAGGAAATCAGTTGAAAGCAAAAATCCAGGTGTTTAATGGCTAAAGGAGGGAGACAGAAACACAAGGTTTTTCCATTCAGTGGCAAATGGGAGGAGAAAGAAGAATTTCATCTCTAATTTGGAAGTTGATGGAGCAGTGTTGTCTCACCCGGCAGAAATTGCAGAGGCTCTAGTAAACCACTTCAAATCTATTTTTAGAAGGCCTATGAATGGGAGAGTGTGGTTGGAGGGATTGGATTGGCCGACTCTAAGTGAGAGAAGAGAGAGTGGTTAGAAAAAAGTTTTGATATGGAGGAGGTAAAGGAAGCAGTATTCTCAATGGATAGGACAAAAGCTCTGGGTCCAGATGGGTTCACAATGGCCTTCTACCAGGACTGTTGGGATATTTTGGAGAATGATCTTAGGTCAGTTCTTGAGGAATTCCACAGAAGGGGTGTAATAAATCCGGGCTTGAACTCAACTTTCATTGCTTTGGTCCCAAAGAAGAAAGATGCATCACAACCAAAGGATTTTAGACCTATTAGTCTGGTGACTAGCTTGTACAAAATCATTGCAAAGGTGTTGTCTCTCAAGATAAAGAAGGTGCTCCCCTCTATTATTGCACCCAACCAAGGTGCTTTTGTGGAGGGAAGATAGATCACTGATCAGATTCTCATTGCAAATGACAGCTTGGAGATCTTTAGGAAGTCAAAGAAGAAGGGAGTGGTTTGCAAATTGAATTTGGAGAAGGCTTATGACTTGGTTGATTGGTCTTTCTTGATGGAGGTGTTGAGGAGTTTTGGTTTTGGAGACAAGTGGTGTAAGTGGATTTGGGGCTGTGTTAGGACTTGTCATTATTCTATCCTGGTGAACAGGACTGTGGTTGACTTCTTTCCTGCATTGAGAGGTTTAAGACAAGGAGGTCCTCTTTCCCCTTTTCTTTTCACCTTGATTGTTGATGTGCTTGGGAGATTGATCCATAGAGCAGACTCGAGGAATTTGATAAGAGGGTGGAGAGTAGGAAGGGAGGAGGTTCCCTTAACACTTCTACAGTTTGCAAATGATACTATCCTATTCTGTGAAGGAGGGAACTTCAATTGGATCCGGAATCTAAAGTTGACAATACAACTCTTTGAGCAGATACCTAACGTCAAGGTGAACTTTGATAAGAGTTGTGTGGCGGGAGTGAATGTGAATGAAAGGGACCTAAGAGAATTTGCAGGTGAGCTAGGTTGTGCAATTTCGGACTGGCCCCTGATATACTTGGGCCTCCCTTTAGGAGATAATCCTAAGAGTGATAGCTTTTGGACTCCGGTAGTGGAGAGGTTTGAGAAGAGGTTGGCGGCCTGGAAGAGAAATTATATTTCTTTAGGTGGGAGAGTCACTTTCATTAGGTCTACCCTAGCTAACCTACCTGTCTACTATCTGTCAGTGTTTAAGATTTCCTCAAAGGTTTCCAATCTTTTGGAAAAATTAATAAGAAACTTTTTGTGGGAGCCTGGAGAGGAGAAGAGAGATCATAGGGTGAGTTGGGAGGTGTAAAAAACTAGGAGGTCTTGGGATTGGTAATTTCAAGAAAAGGAATATGGCTCTATTGGGGAAATGATTGTGGAGGTTTTCATTGGAAAGGGATAAATTGTGGACTAAGATTGTGGCTAGCATTCATGGGCTGGAAGACAATGGCTGGGATCCTGGAATCTTGGCAAGGGCCTCAGCTGCTTCTCCTTGGAAATCCATTCACAATCTGCTTCCAGTTTTCTCCTCTTGGATCAGGTATGGTCTAAACTCTGGTAACCGAATAAAATTCTGGGAACAACTTTGGGTTGGGGATTCTCCTCTGAAGGACTAGTTTCCTTTCTTGTATGCTCTATCAGACTTGAAAAATGAACCCATATCTTCTTTCTTGGTCCCTTCAGCCTCCATTTTTGGCTTTGGATGGAACCTAGGTCTGCGTAGGGCAATTAGGGATACAAACATGGATAGCTTGGTAACTTTGCTAGACTCCCTTGAGATTGTCTTCCTAAACCCTGCTAAGGAAGACACTAGATTTTGGACCCCTTCTAGCTCTGGTACCTTTTCTTGTGCTTCATTCTTTGAAACCTTAACTCAGCCTCCTATCCCCTTTGGGTTGTCCTTTCCGGTTAAGGAAATTTGGAGCAGGCCTATTCCTCATCGGGTTGGTTTTTTTTGTTGGGAAATTTTCCTGGAAAGAATCAACACTTTAGACTTACTTTGGAGAAAGAGACCCAACTATTGTTTACTTCCTAATAGATGTGCTCTTTGTAAAGCTGATGGGGAATCTGGCTACCACCTCATGGTCTCTTGTAAGGCTGCTAAAACTGTTTGGGAGTGGGTTTTCTCCCGCTTTGGGCATTCTTGGCATCCTCCGGAGACTGTCCAAGGTTTGTTTTCTCCTTTTTCAGTTAGCCTAGGAAGCGAGGGAAGACTATGTGGAGGTGTATTAGGGCAGCGGTATGCTGGTCATTGTGGGAAAAAAGAAACTCACGCATTTTTTCCAACAAGGAAAGAACATTGGAAGAATTGTTAGATCGAATCCTTTTAAGGGTTGTCCACTGGCTAAAATCTTTGGAGTTGTTTTCAGATTTTCCTGCGGATGACTTGCTAAGAAACTGGAAAGAGATTGCTTCCAATGCTAGATGTAAGAGGACTCTTTGTCCGTTTTGGTCCCCTCCCCCCTCGGGCTTTATAAAGCTGAATTTTGATGGCAGCAGTGTGAGGAATCCAGGGCCCTCTGGGATTGGAGGAGTCTTTAGGAATGAGGAAGGGATTGTTATTGCTTTATTCTCTGGCCCTATTGGAGAAGGTGACTCTCTTAGGGCTGAGATCCTTGCAGCGCTTGAAGGAATTCGAAGAGCAAAGGAATTAAATATCAGCTGTTTGATCCTGGAAGGTGATTCGAAGGTGGTGGTTAGTTGGTTGAAGACAGAGGACAGTGGTTTGTGGAACTTTAACAATGGAAAAAAATAGTTCTTATGGCTGGGTAGGGACATTGAGATTCAGTACAGCTGGGTGAAGAGGAGTGTCAACTCATTTGCGGATGGGTTGGCCAAGCAAGGAGTGAATAGGGAGTCTGTTTTTTGGGCTAGTTTTTAATCTTTTCTCTTTGCACTCCCTATGTTTTCTGTTTTTGGGGAGCTAAGATATTTTATCTCCCCTCTTGTATCCATATTCCCTCTTTTCTTTTAATTTAATGAAGCTGGTGTTATTGATCAAATAATAATAATAATGTAATAAATTTTAGGGTTGACAATAAATATTCTGTCACTTGGTTCTTGATTTCAAAAAAAGGAAACCAATTTGAAGAATTCCTTCTACATTTTGGCCAATTTGAAGAATTCCAACTACATTTTGGCTTGGATTCATGTAGCCAGCCCCATATAGTTGGGATAAGGCATGGGCAATGATGATGATGATGATTCAGGCTGGGGCCCATTCAAAGTTTGACAAATGCTCAACCCAAGCCAACTCAAGTGGCACGCCTGCGTGAAGGTAACCTATTGAATATGTAGAAATGGCCATTTAAGGAACATTCCATTCCTTGATGTTGTTCCCAGTAGGGCCTATTGGCAGGATTGATACTTGCTAGTAAGGTTTTTGGTTTCTGGATTCACGCTAAGTATCCTGTAGCTTTGGTTGCTTTAACAAGAATATAGTATAACTTTTATATCAAAGATTACTGCTATTTCTTTTAAAAAAAAACGCTTATTTTTTCTTTTTTTCTCGATTGTTTCAACAAATGTGTCCATATTCTGATAAATGGCTTAAATTATCAAGTTAACGGAAATCTTCATGACTGTAAGAGGGGAGCACACATTGTTGGAGCTGGTTTTGAGTGTTATTCATCATTTTACTTGAACGTTGCATAAGCACCTGGTAATCCAAGTTTAAAGTTTAAAAAAAAAAAAGCATTTTAGTTATCACTGAAAAGTAAGGTGTATTTTTAACCTTATATCTGTGAATGCAGAAATACTACATGGCTTCATCAAGGGAACTTGTTCGTATTGTAAGCATACAGAAATCTCCAATAATCCATCTTTTTGGGGAGTCCATTGCTGGAGCAGCTACAATTAGGGGCTTTGGGCAAGAAAAGCGATTCATGAAGAGAAACCTATATCTTCTTGATTGTTTTAATCGCCCCTTCTTCTGCAGCCTCTCGGCAATTGAGTGGCTCTGCTTGCGAATGGAATTACTTTCAACTTTTGTATTTGCATTTTGCATGACACTACTTGTGAGCTTCCCACATGGGAGTATTGATCCAAGTATGTAGTGTTTTGACACCTTCATTTAATATTTCAAATCTGCTTATTCTCATGAAAATATTTGTGCATGATGATGATGCAAAGCAATGCTATTAAAATTATAGGTTTTAAATAGATTTACTTGAAATCGCTTTTGAGATAATGATCTAATTCATTCCTTCATGTATTTGGTATATAAAGAACTACTCATGTATCTAAATCCAGATAGTCGGGAGAAAAATAGGATGATAATGTACTTTGTTTACAAATAAAAAAATAAAAGCGACTAATATATTTTGATTTAGCACTTCCATGGAGCAGTTGCTGCTGTCTTTATTAACCAATCACTGCTTCTCCTATAAAGGTATGGCTGGTCTTGCTGTGACATATGGCCTTAATTTGAACGCGCGATTGTCACGTTGGATATTGAGTTTCTGCAAGCTGGAAAACAAAATTATTTCTATAGAACGAATTCATCAGTACTGCCAAATCCCAAGTGAAGCACCAGTTTTTGTTGAGAACTGTCGCCCTCCATCCTGCTGGCCAGAAAATGGAACAGTTGAATTGATTGATTTGAAGGTATGTAGTTCATTTTCTTTTCACCTTTTAGTTCATTCCTATTCCATGGTGAAAGCTGCAATAATTGATGCATTCCAAGTTTCCAACTAAATGCTTCTTTGTGCCCCAAATAAAGCTTGTAAAAGATGTAAATGGTAAAAAGAAAATTAAGAAGTTACCAAACTAGATATGTTAATATCTTTTTGATCGTCTGAAGTTGTGTCCTTGTACCCTAAGTTCTGGGGTCAGGCAAATCTGAAGTTTGGTAAAACGCCCTTACCCAACCCAATATCTCTACCAGTAAAATATAGAAAGGGATTTTAAATAGGAACTTAAACCTCTATCTGCGTTCATGTTTTAAATGATGAGGGATCAGTCCCTACGTTCTCCTTCACTGTTCAAAGACCAGTAGATTGCCTCACTTCTTCATGGGTTTGTGGRTCTTTTAGTAGGTGACTCTTGAAGGATTTGTTGAAATGCTTTGATAATGAAAAGTGTGTGGATGAGTCTAGGGTTGGGTTGTATTGGAAAACTATCAGCCATGTACTTGCCTAGGAAACATAGGAGGAATAGAGCAAGCACATTGTTACAGCAAAAAGGCTCTTCTTGAAATGAAAGTCTACTTATTCTCTTTCCTTTTTTTTTTTTGATCGATACTTATTCTCTTTCCTTCGCTCATGGATTTTGGCTTCAAAGGAACTTACTTCTGGATTGCCTCTTGATTATTTCATAAAGAACCTTCTAGGGATTCTCCAATTTTCCCTTGATTTTCCTTTCAATTATGACATTTCCTCTTTTTTTTCTTTTGATTGGTAACTGAAAAAAAAAATATTGCATTTTTTAAAAGAAAAGAAAGATGTATAAGTTGCAAGTACCCCAATACTTATACTAGATAAAATTCACTGAACATTCTTAGTTGTATATTACATTTGAGCTTGGAAAATTTCGGTTCTGTCTGCCCCTTGCCATGCCAATATTTCTGCTAAATTATTTTTGAACACTTTAACTTACTTCCATTTCTCTTACTACTTAGTGCCTGATTTCTTTTATAACTCGCCTGTGTTGCCATATTACACATCTGCTACTGACCATCCTGCTCACTACCACCTTTGAGTCTCCCTCTACCATAATCTTTAACGTGCATCATTCTACCAATTCTCTTTCCATGCAGGAGTGTTAGTACCTCAGTCCTTAGTGTGTCTCCATGCCCAGCTGGACCCAAGTATAAGGCAAGCATGTTGCTGTTTTCATCTCTAAAGTCTAAGTACACCTCCAAAGCCAGAGCTTGAGGGTCCCAGATTCTCACGGCAACAGGCATAAAAAATTTGTTTTATACAGCCATTTATAGGTGGGCTCCATTGCATCTGAATCACTCTCCTTTCTAACGAAGAATGAGCTACAACTTGCCAGCCCCTAATTATGTCACCTGTTGAATAAGACACAAAAAACTCCATGGTCTGTTTTTTTTTTTTGTTTTGATAATTCACTCCATGGTCTTTTTTCCAAGCATTACTTTGGACACATGGTCACCTTTCCATCCCCCGGATGTTGGGGAGATTAAGCTTTGGTGTGATGTGTCCTCTTTTGGTAATCATTGGCCTTTATTGGAAGCATATTCCTCAATTCTTATGGTGATATATTATGGGTATTAAATGAAACTATTGATGATACAAATTCAATGCTTGGCACTTTATCACCAAGCAATCGTGTCTCTCTTCCTCCGTAATTGTAGGGGATATGGTAAATGCACTTAGATGCAGCAAAGGAATTGGACAGAGCAGTCCATCTCAGATCAGATTAGTTGGATTTTAAGAGAAATGAATTCCATAGTGGATAATCCTGCTAGATCATGCATGAGAAGTTTTTTGTATAGCAATAGCTCTATGCCCTTCTGTTTCTTTTTTTATTTTATTTTTTTTTTTGGGGGGGGGAGGAGGGTACATGTTAATAAAATTTCCACACCTCTTCAATGAAATAAAGTGGAACTCACTAATTCAAATTTTCTACTTAAAATAAGCTTGAGAATTAAAATTGAGCTAATGTTGGATCCATGCCTTGACAACTTGCACCTAGGCACCTTGATCCAAACCCAATAGCTTGAATGTTTTCCATTAATGAAGCCCACTTAATGGTGATACTTTTAAAACTTTCAACTTTTTTTCTGTAGTTAACATAATGAATGGTTTCATCATCAGGAGGGGGGTAGGGGACATAACTAATGAATGATTACATATGATACATAGAATACTCAACATTCTTTTTATGAGGTCAGCACCTGCTTCTTCCCCTTGCATTAGGTCTCTAATATAAAAGCCCCCTTTTTACTATGTTCATTTACCCATCTTAATACAAGAGATTTTTAAAATAGGACATCTTCCAAAGGTTCTGACAGTTGGACCTTTAATTCCTTTCTGACAGTAGTTGTTTATGTTCAACTATTCAATCTTACATTTAACTTGCCATTTTTATATAATTTCTTTTCATTGCCTCAAAGCAAAGATGATGAGATGATTGGAAACTTTCACTAGGTTCCTTATTCTCTTAAGTTTGAGCCTTCTATTCATAATTACCCTTTAGTTAATCAAATAGAAGAACCAATTATAGAAATGTCTACCTTGGGTATTTTGATCTTGATGAGAAAACAGGGATCTTTGTTTTTTATTGCCATAAAAAATCTCAGTCATTTCAGAAGTATAGCTTTTTCCTGGCTTCTTACCAAGCTCGTAATACACTAATACATGAAAATATTTTTCTTTTCTTTTTCCGGGGAAAACTTCCTGCATATTGTTTTTTGAAACAAATTTCCACTTCATTAGGTTCCCACTGTCCCTGCCACAAAATGCATTTAGCATGTAGAGTGGAAATTTGAGGACATCTTCATACCACCATCTTGTTTATTTAGCTTTTTGACTGTAAACTTGTGTATATGATTTTTCCTCACCCAAATAACTATATATTTTGTGTCTTTTATCTTGTTTGCGTAAGCAGCTTTTTGTTTACTTGAATTGTACCTAACAACTCCTTATCCTCTGACTGTTCTGTTCATAAAGGTTCGTTACAAGGAAAGTCTTCCTGTAGTCCTTCATGGAGTAACGTGCACATTTCCTGGTGGGAAGAAGATTGGTATTGTTGGCCGCACTGGAAGTGGTAAATCTACATTGATCCAGGCTTTGTTCCGATTGATTGAACCAGCAAGTGGGAGGATAGTCATAGATGGCATTGATATTTCAACAATTGGCCTTCATGATCTGCGTGGTCATCTCAGTATAATTCCACAAGATCCAACGTTGTTTGAAGGGACCATTAGGGGAAATCTTGACCCACTTGAGGAGCACTCTGATCATGAAGTGTGGCAGGTAAGAATTGATCCTCCTATCATGGTCATTTCTCATTCCTTGACCTTTTTGTTTTAATCAATAGCTGTGTTTCTTATTTCATTGAGATATCCACATTGGAATGGTATTCTAATTATTGAACCTCATAATGTCTTATAGGCACTTGATAAGTCTCAACTTGGAGAGACAGTCCGCCAAAAAGAGGAAAAGCTTGATTCTCCAGGTATGTTCACAAATTTTGATATAATGATTAAACATATATGTAAGCATGCAAATTCATTAATGTGATGTATAGAAGTTTATTTTGATGGTGAGGACTAATCAACTGGATCGTAATTTCATGTAAAATGCCAGTGCTAGAGAATGGGGATAACTGGAGTGTTGGGCAACGGCAACTTGTTTCATTGGGCCGGGCTTTGCTTAAGCAGGCAAGGATACTGGTTCTTGATGAAGCAACAGCCTCAGTTGACACAGCAACTGATAATCTTATCCAGAAGATTATCCGAACAGAATTTAGGAATTGCACTGTCTGCACTATTGCACATCGTATCCCTACTGTTATTGACAGTGATCTGGTTCTAGTCCTCAGTGATGGTAAGTGCAAATGTTCCCAATTTGTTATGATAGAACTTAATGAATGTGCATTTAACTTGGCACTCTATCAAGATACTGCATCGATTGTTTTGTGTGATGTTAAATACTGTTATCATCTTATGATCAGGCATAAAATGTTGAGATTTATTTTCTTAATAGCTGTAGAAATGATAGGTTTCATCATGTCAAGTGACCTTCAATGTCATGTCTGTTGAGGACTTATAATTTTTGGAATTTTTCCAGGTCGTGTTGCAGAATTTGATACTCCTGCACGGTTGTTGGAGGACAAGTCATCAATGTTTTTGAAGCTGGTGTCCGAGTACTCTACAAGGTCAAGTAGCGTGCCAGATTTTTAAACTTGATGGTATGCCACACCACCTTGAACAGAAAACTATAGCAGCAGCAGATGTACAGAAATGAGCCATCTGCTACTGCTGCTCCCCTTGCTGCTGCATTCGGCAGTTAAAGAGGAGAATCATATGGAAAGTGATGTGCTTTCTTGTATAGTCAACCCACAGAAGAAAAGAGTAGTATTTATGTGATATGGGTACTCTTCCCATTCCAAGCAGAATTGCTGTATCAGAACACGGCTGGCCCAATGTAAACAAAGATGAGTTGGGTCCATAAGAGTAGAGAATGATAATAAGTTTGCAAGTGGAGGAAATTGCGTTTGAGGAGGGAGGGTTATTCTTGTTGAGCATTCCCAATAATGCAATCTTGGCATCAAATCCAGATGATCGTTCATTTATCTTTATGAAGTTAGCAGGGCATCTACAGTCCTGTATCCTGCGCTGCTGCTCTTGGCAATGTAGTGCTTTTTGTTCTGGTCATTGTTTCTTCCTCCCTGATTTGCATACCTTTTCAGAAGAATGGTCAGATTAGATATACATGAACACGGATTCTGGGGATAAAATCAGTCATTTGTGTGGCATAGGCCATGATTGGCATGTTCTAAGCACTAGATTTACACTTTTTTTTTTGGATAGGAAGAAGAGCTAGCAGGTGCTAACCCTCCTTGAATGTGCGATGGATGGTTTTTCATTTTCAGGGGTGGTTTCTCTCTTCCTTATTGTGTGATACTCTACTAATGTAATTTACATTTGCTGAACCCAAAAGTCCAACATCCAGTTGATCAACCGCAGAATTGGGTTTTATCTTGTGCCTTTTGCCTGTCTCTGTGTCTCTGATGCAGCAGCCATCACAAAGGCCTTCTGGATGGTTGGGTACATGCCCCCATGGTTGTCAGAACTGGCCTGCACCTGCAGGTTGACCCTTCTGGAATCTGGATTGCTGGGTCTTGGGTCAATTTTTCAACTGGTGGGTAAAGTCAGGTTTGGCTGTTACAATGCATATTTCTCATGCCAGGTGGGAGTGACCAGGTGGCTGATCCCTAGTGTCCCCACTCCATTGGCCAATGAATGATTTCGATTGGAAATATCATTATTATCCAACATGGCAGAAAAATAGGTTTTAAGTTGTGTATACCGTAGAAGATCTCCCTGTTAACCCAATTAGGAATTCATTTTCCATGTGTCTACATGTGTATGAAATAATAAAATATTACATATGAAAATTTTAAAACTTTTAAAAATAGAATATATGTAAGAAAGGATCGCTTTTGTTTCCTTTTATATGTGGGTTTTTTTACTCTTTGACTGATCTTTAACCTTTTCAAGTGTTTTTGTAACTATATAACTGGAGAAGCAAAATCCAGGCAATCATCCAAAACTGCCTTGATACAAGAATTAGTGATGCCCGGAATTGTTTGCATATTTGCTTTATCAATCACTCGAACATTCTTTTTCTGGGTAGGAAGGGAAAGGATGGGGGACACAAGCCTGAAGGTAGCCCTTTCCCAGAAACGAAACCAGCAAATGGCCAATGTATCTTAGGTCCAAAGAAAAAGTAAGAAAGAAAGTTGATTTCTTCTTGATGATCTATATTTGCTAACCAGTCGACAGCTTGTTTAGCTTCTCTATCTCCCATCTAGATTCATTCCTCTCAAAGCTTTTCGCACTGGAGGATCAGATCCTCACATCTCCAAGGGGGAGGAGGGTTTCTCTTCAAAAAGACTGTCTATCACAGTTCGGAGTTTCCTTCAATCTGAATCTTCTTGGCGCCAATGCAGGTGGTAACCAAGTGCCCATTTGGGAGGGCTTTTGCACGGCGTCTTACGGCATTGCATGAGCCAAGAAACCCCGAACAGAACAGCATGAAGCTATGTTTGGTAAAGATCTGAAAAAGCTAAAAGTAGGCTTAGGTGAGACGTAAAATCAACTTTCTGATGAAGCTACCGAAGCGGCTCATTCAACACAGCTTTGAGAGCTGCCCAAAACTCTGCAATGAAAGCTGATGAAGAACCTATTCAAACTAAGATAGGAATCACAGTTCATAATGATAGTTTCACTTATAGGGGCCACCATTTTCCCCAACACCCATTTTTCTGGTCCCAAGGCCTAGTTGCACTCCTGCTTATTTCAAGGTTTTCATCAACTTCCGGTTTGCTTGCTTTTTCAACAACCTTACGTGGACCTTTTTTTAATGGGAAAATTTCAGTACTTTGGGCCTAATGCCACTTTGGTCCCCAAACTTTAAAACGTGACAATTGAAAAAGGCCTAAAGTGACATTTAAAATGTGTCAATCCCTTAACCAGCCATTAAGTGACATTTGAAAAGACACAAATGCCTTTTGAGTGTCATTTAATTTTCTTTATCAACCATCCACATGTTGATAAAAATGAACAATCTCAAGTCCTTGTCTCTTCTATTCAAGAAAGTTAAGGTTATGTCTCGGTGGGCATTCTGGTGACTCCAACTTTTTTGAACATAAGAGGCAAGTATTTGGGACTATTCATTTTTTGTCAATGTTTGGATGGTTGATAAAGAAACTTAGATGACACTCGAAGGGTATTTGTGTCTTTTCAAATGGCACTTAACAGTCGGTTAATGGAATGTACTAGATTGGCACGCTTTGAAAGTTTGAGTACTAAATTGTCATGTTTTAAATACTGATAAAAACAAATTTGTCACGTTTTAAAGTTCGGGGGCCAAAATGGCACACGACCCAAAGTACAGGGTACTAATCTGAAATTTTCCCTTTTTTAAAGCATTTATCTTCTCCGTTTTTTCTCCAAATAAACCAAAGAAGGTATAAAATATTTTCCCACAAATTTTAGTATTTTTTAGGGTCATTTACTGAAACACCCCTATAGTTTCATGGATTTACTAAAGCCCACCTTATAGTTTGTGTTTTACTAAAACACCCCTATAGTTTGCAAACGGTTTACTTAATTGACCTTCCATTAGATGATGGTGGAAAATGACAACTTTAACCCTAATGGCCATTTGAATAAATTCAATAAAAAATGAAAATATCATTTTTGACCTTAGTAAGATACGAGCAAGCACTATATTTGGATCTATTTGGTCAATTTTGTTTTTGTATGAAGAAGTATTATGGGTACTTTTGGAATAAATAGCCATGGAACCATGCCCTTGAACTCAGGTTATAATGTTACTATTTTCAAATGGAAAAACAAACACTTAGGTTGTGTTTGGTTTGAAGGAAAAAGTAGGGAAAGGTAGGGAAATTTATACAAAGTTTGTAAAGGTTTCCCTACTTTTTCCTTCAAACCAAACATAGCCTTAGTGAAAAGTCGATTAAGTAAATAGGTTGCAAACTATAAGGGGTGTTTTAGTAAAATGAAAACTATATGTTAGGTTTAAGTAAGTCCATGAAACTATAGGGGGTGTTTTAACAAATGACCTTTTTTATAAAAAAAATAGCAAAAGATTAAAAAGAAACAAATCTCCAACAAAACAACAGAATGACAATGACGACAACATAACCTTGTTATCTAGAGATAAAACATCCACCAACCAAAGCTTGAGGACTTAAACGCCAACTACCAACAAGGTTAAAACCATGAGACGCTAGGAAGTGAGTGAACTATATCATTGCTCTCACGAGGAACAAAAAAAACCTTAAAGCCAAACTACTACACACATGTGAAATATCTTTAAGGGTAAATTGCAAAGACCCCCCTGTACTATGGGGTTTGTGACAAAGACCCCCTTGTATTTTGTTTTGTGACAAAGACCCTCCTTGTACTATGTCCGTGAGACAAAGACCCCCTTCCGTTAGACTTTCGTTAAAATCTATCGTTACAATACTTTTTAATGCCCGTACTACCTTTATAACACTGTTCATCTTCCCCGACCTTAGGAACAACAGCGGCGTAGTTGTTGCAGTAGCAGTGGACTTTAGAAGTCAGCCCTTTCTCTCCCTCTCACCCTCTCTCTCTCCCCCGATGAGGAAGCGTGAGTCCAGGCAATTGCAGAGATCGTGAACGACATGGTGGAGCGCTCACACAGAGGAGAGAACATGAATTACACAAATTGATGTAAGGACTGCAGGCCCCAAAAAATACCCATTGAGTATTAACCAGTCCAAGCCAAAACTCAATTCTCTAAGTAACTGTCAGTGCATTTAGAAGATAGAGAGTGGAGGCTGGCAAAATCTATTCATTGCATTTTTGCACGAAGCACTCAGGACTCAAAACTGAGAAGGAAAATGATGTATCGCTTCCTTTTAAAAATCCCCCCCCCCTTCTATGCCTAACTTGTATCATACACAGCACGCAATGCTTCCTGCCAATTCTGTGAGGCTACATTTATACTGAGGTATGAGCTACATTATCATTTATCAATTACAACAATGAGCATTTTAATGGGGACCCTGCAAATCAAACAACTCCTCACTGAAGAGAGATCACATGCTAGAACAGTTCGAACTCTAGATGCCCTCTTATAGACTTGAACTCCAAATGTTTTCTCTCCTGGGAAAGCATAAATGGAACTCCAAGATCACAAAACTTTGGTAGCTTCGGTGGGATGGCACACCGTATTAATGCCCAGTTCAGGCCCTCAAAGAATGGATGTTGCCCACAAAAAAACTTTCCAGGTCCATGTGCAGAATCCCCTTGTATAGATCCTTTTTTGTTTCTAGCCATCCTGGGTGCAGGTTTCATGCTTTTCACAGAGGCTTATATCTTCTACAGCGAAGACCCGAAAACTAAAATCCGACTTGGCAGTGCAGGTGAGCCCTCTGCCACAGCTTGTGGCAGAGCCAACCACTGCCCGGTCCAACTCCTTTTTTGGGACCCATGAATATTTAGCTCCTAAGATCATCAAAGGAGAGGGTCATGGGAGTGCTTCAAGGGCCTTATTTGGTAAAACACCCTTCAAGGCCCTAGGAAAATGAGGAGACTTTAGTGAATGTGGTGATACAGAGCCTCAAGTTGGAGTACTGGCAGCGCTTGCTCTGGTCATTTCGGAGAGTTGGAGTATTGGCAGAGCCTCAAGTTGGATACAGAACCTCCGTCCTTTCATTTCAGAGAGTTGGGAGAGAAAGAACAAGAGAGGAAAGTGAGGGAGGGGAAAAGAAGATAAGAAAGGGAAAACAATAGGTTAAATAGGTTTTAAGAGAAAATAAGGGAAAAAAAAAAGAAAATAGAAAAAGTTTAGTGGGGTATTTTGATAATTTAACGCATTCCATCGTCTGACTTAACATTCAAGGGGGGTCTTTGTCTCACGATCATACTACAGGGGGGTCTCTGTCAYTGACCCCACAGTATAAGGGGGTCTTTGTAATTAAGGGATTGTTTTTGGTTAGTCTCTCTAGGTAAATCTTTCAATAGTCTAGTAGATAATAAGATGCACTACTTAGCTTTTGGGATATTGTCTTTAAAGATCGGTACTATTTGGCTCGTATCATAATCTACCCGCTTATTAAAAACAGCTGGGATGGCTATTTTTAGTGTGGAAAGACCAAACACTTCATTTAAAGCTTTCCAATTTTTGGCTTTTTTAGTCTTTCCGCACATTCATCTTCGGGTCTTTCAATTTACATTAGGGCTGCAAGTCGGGCCAGGTTAGGTCAGGTTGAGGCCAACCCTAGCCCAACCCTATCCCTAACCCTAACCCAAAGTAAACTCCTTCAACCCTAATCCTAACCCAACCCAACCCGAAGTCAACTTATTGGGCTCGGGTTGGGCCCAACCCAATCTTCTTCCCATCCCTTAAAACCTTGTATAACTTCTCAATTTCATATCTTAACCCAGCTTTCACTACATATATTAATCTTATGTTTCATTAGTATTTATTTGTTGACATTTTTATTGGTTCTTTTGGTACAAAATTCAAAAAAAAAAATGTTTGAAATGACTATAATTTATTGTGAGTAATGAATTATGATAGATCTTTTTTTGGCAGCAAATAAAATATTCAAAAAACATAAAAATATGTTATTTAAGGTTTTAGTATTCCCGATTAGGATTAAGTGAAGTGATTATCCTAAAAGAAACACATGATATATTACATATAACACGTATTTATATATGACATGCACTATATAGTCTGGTTCAGATTGGGTTGGGTTGCTTGAGGGGTCAACCCCAACTCTAACCTGAGCATCAACCCGACTTTTTTCTGGTTGGGTTTGGGCCAACCCAACCCAAGTTGCAGCCTTAGTTTACATGATACTAAACTAGAAAAAACACACTGAAAAGATGCATCAAACATGACCTAAAAAATACATCTTTCAACCATGCCAAGGACTAGGGGTGATCATTTCAGCCCGGCCCGGAAATTCTGGGCTTGGGCTTGGGCTTGGGTTTTGTGTTCAGGCCCGGCCCGGTCCCGGGCCCATATCAGGCCCACAAATTTTAGGGTCAAGTTCCCAATCCTGGCCCAACCTGCATATATTTAAACTTACACATTTTGTGTATAATGTATGCATATGTATACATGTTATTTTACATTATATTATATATTTTATATATAAATATTATAACATGACATGTATAATTTATATTATATGTAATATTTTATAGTATATAATATATAAAATAAAAGTTTATATGCATGTTATGTCATTTAATATAAAATATTATAAATATATAATGTTTTATATATGAAAGACATTGGCCCAGAATCAGGCCCGGGCCAGTGTAGACATGGGCTAGGGCTTATGTTACAGGCCCAAAACCCCAGGCCAGGCTGGGCCCGGACCTAAGCTTTAGCCCTTATCATAAGTGCAAAGTCCGGCCCGGCCCGGCCCATGATCACCCCTACCAAGGACCCTTTGGAGAGTCCACTAATAAGCTGCAAGCAATCCCATAATTTTTAGTTTTAGTACACTTGTACTCTTTTTTTATTCTCTTTTTATCCACGATTATATGATATCCTCATTATCCTCCGGGATTTTGCCTATATTATTTGCAATTATCTACCATACATGTCTAGTGAATGGGCAATTTATGACAATATGATTGATGTCTTCTTCATTGCCACAAAAGTGGTAGTTTTCCATATAAGGGTGTCAATATACCAGTTTTGGCTTGGACCTCGTCCAGGACAGACCAATAAGACATATTGGATTGGACCAATCCGCTCCAAAATATTTATGAGATTGGATTGGACCTGGTTCATTCGTAATAAATTTATATTGGATTGGATTGGATTAAGCCAATATCTAGTCCATTGATATAAGATAAAAATATAGGTGTCAATGGACCAAGTTTGGGTTGAAACCAATCTAAATCAAAATGAACTTGCACAGATTGGATGGTCCAGACATTGAATTGGACTAGTCCAAATTGGTCCAAAATATTCATTAGATTGGATTGGACCTGATCCATTTATAATGGACTCACATTGGACTGGATCAAATTGGATCAAATCCAGTCCAATTGACACCCCTACTTCCATTGATTGTATCCAAAGCCTTGTGTTACTTTTATTTTGAAAAGTATGATTTTAAAAGTTTTTCATCCAAACACATTTTCAGTAAAAATATGAAAGTAAAATTATAATTCATACTCAAAGTACAAAACACAAAGTTTATACAAGCATGGCCTAAATTTGCCTAAATCATATAACCTAAGAAATAAAAACATTTAGGGGAAGGAAGTAAAGAAGTGGAGCGGACCAGAACTTAATCCTATCCTACTTCAGGTTGGGTTTAGGGTTGGGGATTATTCCACAGCTCATGATGGGTTAGAGTTGACCTCAACCCAACCTAACCTGCCCCAACTTGAAAGTTGCAACCATATAGGGTGTCAATGGTATTCGAAAATCCGATTTCGAATTCAATATTTGACATAATCGAATCGAATTCGGATAATTCGAATATCTAATCGGTCGAATTCAGATATCCTATTCTTACCAAATAGTTAATCGTATTCGAATTTGGATATGACCTGATTCGATTCGATAAATATCCGAATATGACCAATTATTTAATTCTTATATATAATATATAAAATATTTTATATAATTTATATATAATAATTAAGTTATATAAATAATTTATATATTTATATATTTATTAATTATCTAAAATAATTAATTAATTGAATTCGAACCGAATCGAATTCGAATCGAATCAGATATTCGAATATTTAATTGGATTCGAATTCGGATATTAATTTTCAATATCCGTTGGATATTGAATCGAATTCGGATACCGGATTTTCTAATCGGATTTGAATTTGAATATTGCTTGATCAGATTCGAATTCGATCCGTTTACACCCCTACAACTAGACCTGTTCATGGGCCGGGCCGGGCTTTTACTGTATATTAACAAATTTTTTTAAGGCCCGAGCCCGAGCCCGGCCCGACCATCGGGCCTACAATTTGGGCCCGAGCCCGGCCCTCATAAAAAGCCCGAAGCCCGAGCCTGGGCCCGGGCCCGAAATTTAGCCTATATTATTATTATTATTATTAATGTTGAAGCAGCTGAATAAAGAGAGAGATAGATTGAAATTATAAAGAAAAGAATAAAATATATATATATATATTAAATTATAAATATATATTTTAATAAATATTATATTATTTATATAATATATAAAATACATATTATATATTTTATAAAATATATAATACTGAGTTGGGCCGGGCCGGGCTCGGGCCAGGCTTTTTTGACAAATTCTAAGCCCGGCCCGAAACACAGTCGGGCTTACTGTGTTAAGCCCGAGGTCAGGCCCGCGGGCCTAATTATATGACCAAGCCCGGCCGGGGTGCGGGCCGGGCCGTCGGGCTACCCGGCCCATGAACAGGTCTACCTACAACCATAGGCTCGGAGTACCTCAGGCCCAAGCCGAGAAGTTATTGTGTGGATTATTTTCAGGCCCAGTCCTTGCAAAGGCTCGGGTTGGGTCCAGCCCGCCCACGGCCCATCTTGCACATTGCCGAGTTGGGGCAATGTGCGCATGTTAGAGTTAAGTTTATGGGCGTAAGTTAGAGTTAAGCTTCATCTAATAGTAAGACAGACCCACCAAAGCGCCCCGATTCTGCTCGGCTTCAAAAGTTCTCTTCTTCGGTTCTTCCAGCAAAACGAAGAAGAAGAATCTCTACGGAGGAATGATGCAGGCCTACTCGAGACGGTTGGGGCAACAGTTCTTGAAGTCCTCACCCGCGATATCATCTCTCAATTCCATTCATCCAATCTCGGGTGACTATAGTCGATCACTGCTATCTCTGCTCTAGGGTTTCGATTTATCTCCTGCTTATTTTGTTTTTAGAGATTTGCAGAAACAATGTGGGATTTCAAACAAAAATGCAAATTCCTTTTTTTTTTTTTGAGATGGTTTTGTTGGATTTTTGCTGGATTTTATTTATTTAACTATAAGTTCAGATCATGATATATTGATTCGAAATGCAGATTATGTGACTGATCATCCGCGGTATGGATCGACCCTCGCCCCTAAGGGCGTTGGGCATCTTGTTCGCAAAGGTACAGGTGGAAGATCATCTGTGAGGTATATTCTTGACTGCTTTTTTCTTTTAATTGGAATTTAGTGATTTAATCCCTTTTAGCTTGGTTGGGCGACTCCTACAAAGATGGTCTGCTTTGTTTGGACTGCAAGGGAAGTGTCCAAAAGAATAATAAACATTCATTTACCTATAAAAAAGAATRAACTTTCATTTTGGTCCATTTGCAATTTTGTTGTATAATTTGAAATATTTGTTCAATCTGGACAGCGGCATTGTTGCAACTGTATTTGGAGCTACTGGGTTTCTTGGACGTTATGTTGTTCAACAGCTCGGTAAGATTGGATTTAACATACTTATTAACTGGTTTGGTCTGGGATCATCAGCAGTGGTCCTTCTCATCACTAATAATCATGCTTTTGTTGTCTGATTATGGGGACGCACTACCCCCCCGTCTTGTGTAGCCCCTCTTGGTTTCTATAAAAAAAACAAAATAATCATGTTTTTGTTAATTATTAAAAATTATTAGTTAAAAGTAACTAGTACAGATCTTTTTCTTTGTATGTTTTTCTGCAAACAACGTCTTTCCCTTACAGCTTCAATTTGTATTGTAGGTATGAAACTATGAATGTAATTGGCTTAGAATTGCGTTGGGTACACTTGACTAATTTTAAAAAAGGGCTATGTTTGTTTCTTGTAACTTGCCTACTCCACCTAACCTCAACTAAACTCAGCCTTAATTCCAACTATTTGGGGTTGGGGGTTGTTCATACAAAACCTGTCATTGTGCTCTGTCAAGAGCCATGTTGTCTGTCGAATTACAAGACCTTAAATAATTTCTTTACCACTTGAGAGATGTTCTCTAATCTTCCCCCTATTCTTTTGGAGCCTTCTACTTGCACCAACTCACTCTTTATAAGAAAAGAAATATCTTTTATCATCCAATAGCTTAATCTTTAGGTTAAAACAAAAGATGCAGCAATATGTTGATGGCAGCTGGAACCAACTTGAACAAAGGAGGGATAAAGGTTTGGAAGGGAAGGGAATGCAGTGTTAAATTATATGTACATGTGCATATTAAGCTAAGAGTGTTATATCAATGTATGCCATCATGTTATCTACAAATTTACAGAAAATTTCTTAAGATTTTGTTCATTAGTAGATATTAATTATCAATTTTTTCAACCAATGGTCGAACTGGCCAATTCCAGTTGGACCAGTAGACCTGTCACCTAGATACAGACGCTGGCACAGATGTAGACATGGATACAGGAAATGGGAATATAGCTTCCCATTTCATAAAATCCCTGACACAGAAATGGGTATGGCTATCCCATATATAGATTTTTTGTGGTATGATTTGTTAAAACTTACCATTTTATATATTTTTAAAATGTTAATGCTTTTGAGCATATCTTTGGATCCATTGTTATATCATATATGTATCATGTCTGATACTGGTATTCTAGTTATATATAGGTATCTAGGTATTGTAGATCTTTGGGAATATATATGTCATAAAATACCTGTATGTTTATAATGGTTTACTTCTGTGCAGCAAAAATGGGATCTCAAGTGTTGGTTCCTTTTCGTGGATCGGAGGATTCCCCTAGGCATCTTAAGTTRATGGGTGATTTGGGACAGGTATAAAAATATATGTTTGTGTGTGTTATTTTCATCTTACGAATTTAGATTTGCATGGGTTAGGCTGCTCATTTATCTTATAGAACTTTCACTTGATGGTTCACCCTCCTGAATTTTGACATCATATCTATTACACTCAGATAGTGCCAATGAAATACAACCCACGAGATGAAAGTTCAATTAAGGCAGTTATGGCAAAGGCTAATGTTGTTCTCAATCTAATTGGTATGTATTCCTAACTTGGTATCTCTCTCTCTCTCTCTCTCTCTCTCTCTCTCTCATTTTCTATGGAGCTTGCTAATATTTTATGTTGATGAACTTTCAATACTAACAGGAAGGGAGTATGAGACCAGAAATTTTAGTTTCGAGGAAGTCAACCATTCTATGGCTGAACAGCTTGCTATGGTAGGCTCCTCCTTAGATCTCTGTTATGTGACCTTAACATTCATTATTTCTTTTATTTTCTGACAATAATTGCTCCTTAGGAAGGGGGTTTCAGTGAACATCATTCTAAAGTATTGATGATGTAATTTTGTATTATTGGAATTTCATAATCCACAAAATGTTCATTCTGTGTTGAAGGATGTTTTATAATTTAGAGATCCTAAGCTAGAATTTATTTCTAAAGAATGGTCCAGCATTAAGTGAAGAAGAAAGAGAAAACCTTTAGATTCCAATATATTTTTTGAAAGTAAAATAAATGTTTTATTAAAACAAAAATAGTGAAAACAAGAAAGATGACAACAAATCACCCAAAAAAGAAGAAAAACTACACCCCTCCCCCCAAACCATCCAAAACCAACAACAAACCCTTAAAACACAGACCAGAAAAACTACAATCACAAACACCACTATTTACCCTTGTTTATATAGATTAGCTAGGTATACTGGTTGGTGTCAAGGTTTAAAATGTCAATGTCGATGGAAATGTCGCCTACCAAAATATAGGACATATGTCGGAAATGTTGAGGGGAAATATTGTAAAAATTAGAGACATTGTGGAAATATTATGAAATATGTGGAAATATGCAATGATATTTTGTAAAATGATAAAAGAAGCATTAATACATATTTCTAAACAATTATCTTATTC